CGATCATATTCTCCCATCACAGTTAATACCATGCTCAGTGCCTGCACAATAGAACGTTAATATTCGAATTAACTAACTCGAAGAATACACAAACAAGGGCATAGCGTTTGTTTACCTTGGCCTGATCATGCGCAAAGCGTGCTATTTCCTCACCGCGGATATAGCCACGCGGATCTGTTGGAGTGCCCGATGGATGGTCCCTCAATTTGAGGAAGTAATCAAGGCACGATACAGAGTCGGGCACTATCGGGCTTTCGCCGCGATACTCATAGGAGAACCCAAACGGGTGTAATTTCCTTTCAGCCCGGGACCTCTTCGACGATCGCGGCTCTTCAGGAGATCCTTCCGAAGCCCGCTTCTTCAATAGCAACAGACTGTCGTCTTCAAGGAATTGAGCATCATCGGCTCCTTCCACCTCTTCGGCTTTCTTCTTAGCCTTCTCGGCTTTTCTGGCCGCCCTCTTATCGGCCGTTTTCTTGGCCTTGGCTGCATCTTGCCCAGTACTCTGGTCGTTCGCTATCTTAGCTTGGGGTATATCGCCCTCAAGAGAAGGAACAACCGGGGAGGCATTATCGGTTCCTTTGGCAACTGGAGATCCGAGGATAGACTCAAGATTGGCTGATAAATCCTTGAAAGCAACTGACTTCATTTTTTCTTGACGGCGGGAGTATCATCCAAGCGCAGCTAATCAAAGAAAATTATATTAAAAGGGGGATCGTCAAAAAACGAACATGCTTCTGGCAAATTCAACTAACCTCTGGTCTTGACAATCCTTTCTTCGGTGATCTCAGGCCACGTTATCGCAGCAATCCTCGAGAATCGTTCGGCGATGTTGTAAATATCCACTGGATCGTCGACGATGGGGTGATGTCTGTTTTCTGTAAAAAAAAATGAAGGGAATCAGTCGACGATAAGAAGTGATTCACGACTCTTATATATCAGGTCGAGTAGATTTTCTACCCATGACCTCCGCCCATTTTGTTCGTATCGGCACATCCCTATCAGCGATGGAGGATTCATTGATCAAAACAAAGAAGTATCTGTCCCTCCAGTCGTTGATCTTCGTCTTATGGCCACCAGTGACTATATTGAACTTGCTCTTCATACTGGTGTAGTACGAACCCCTATTCCGTAACTTCTCTTTGGTCCTTCTGGTGTTAGTCATCGCGTCGAACGCAGCACGGCTCAGCGGAATCCCATGCTTGATCGACATCACCAGCATACTCACTATCAGGCGGATGGTAGAATGAGAGAACTGAGAGATCGGCATCTCTTTGTGGTCGGCGAATTCAAGCAGGAGTCTCGGGAGTGGGAACCACAGATGGAACTCTCTGAAGAAACACTCGTAGACGCAGAACCACCCTGGTGGTGCATCCCAAGGTCGCTCAGATGGGCTTGGCACCATAAACACTACTTCAGGGCCGATGTCGCACTCCTCTTTCAGAGAAACCAACGATTCCATCGTCGATTTGGTCGGCATTATTCCCAGGGGATTGTCGCAGATCGGCCTCACAACCGGCTCCCCTTTCTTCCGTTTAACTTTCCTGATTGGAGGATTCAGATCGATGATGCCAAACTGATTCACCTCATCTTCGACGATAAGAGTGTTCAGCTCATCCGAGATATCCATCTCGTTTGATCCACCTCGTACGTCTTCCTCATCCCTTAGTTGCAGAATCAAGAATGGCTCCCTAGTCGACGCCTCTCCGCTCCCTGAAATAGCCCCGACCTGATCAGCGTGAAAGCGCTCGGCTGCTGCCCTTTGGTTCTCCTCCCTGACTCGTTCCTAAAAAGCCCGATCTAACGCGGACAACTCACTTGCATCAGAAGACCGATCTGAATCCCGTTCTTCAACGACAATCCGCTTTCCTTTCGATCTGTTCCTTGCGACCTGGTCGTCTCTCTCCATCTGAAGAAATTCATCTAAAGAAACGCCGATCTCATCAGCTTTCTCCTTAGCCGATACAGTCACCCTCGATTCTGGTAGACTCTCGCAGATCTTCACACACTTGCTCATATCTGATATTGCGACGGTTTTCCACTTAATCGGAGAAATCAAAGGCGGCGCTCTGAACGAAACGCGGCGGAGGTCTGATCGGAAAGATTCTTAACTAAAATAAATGAAGAACAAAGAAGAGAGAGAAGAGCAAACCTGATTTTGACAGAGTTTCGCTAGAGATGCAGAAGTGAAGAAATAGAAGCCGAGTCCCTCTTATTTATAAGGAGATCTGGACGGTTATCGAGAGTCATCATGAGCTCGGCGACTTTTCACATTTCTAACTCTTTTTATATAAATCGGCCTCTTCATCTTCTCCTGTTAGGGTTTGACACGTGTCAACTCTAGTTCTGCATGCGTAGGCCTAGGCCTATCCTACATCATTTTTGGGCGGGAATTTTTCGCGCCTAAAACCACAATCTGGCCCTCATCACCGTGCCGATCAGAAGTCCAGGTAACAATTTTATTATATTTCTAACTCTTTTGCAGCCGACTAGAATTCACATCGAGCAACATTTCTCTAAATTCGACAATGCATCCTCACTTGTCGAACTGGGGGGGGGGGGGGGGGGACTTACTGTTAGAGATGAGATTCGTACCGTCTCTAACAAGCCCGATATGAATTCTAGTCGGCCCATCAAACAAATCCCAGGTCGGCAACATAAAAGGAAAGCTTCCATTTATCAGATGACCCGGCGAAAAAGGAAACTCCTTGCCGACAAGAGTTTCCTATGCCGAATAGGATGAAGACCGACCTGATCGGGTACAAATATAGGAAGTCCTCGACTTCTCAATGGATCCGAAAAATCATTAATCAAGACCTAGAGCAAACTAAGCAATCAGATTGTTCTAGCTTTTTGGTTAACTTTCCTTAAGAGTTTTAGGTCGGCGTTCTTATTCCGACGACCTAAACACCGTTGTATTCAATCAAGCTCCGGCTTCTTCTAATAAAAGATCTCTTTAAAACCTTCAAAACCCTAGTTTTTTCTTAGCTTGAACTTGAGTTTTTACAGTTTTCATTAATTTTTGAAAATTTATAAAACTAAATAAATAAATAAAATTAGAAAAGGAAGAATATGGAAAAAGATTGAATTTAGATTTATATAAAAAATATTTTAGCTACAAAACCAACTGAGTTATTAAACTGTTAGTGTTACATATATATATTATTTATAGATTTAGTATGGGGCACATGCCCCACCCACCTATAACATGGATCCGCCCCCATGGATGCCAATTTCTCTATAATGAAATGTTATAAATTTTTAGTTTATAAATATATATGCTTGACCAAAACAAAAGATGGTGTCATTTAAAGCACATGGTTTTCGATAAAAAAAAATTTCTTGATGAGAGTTTGAGTTGATTTATGGAATGCACGTTTTAAAGAAGAAAACACATTTACTTATACGACATATATATATAATAAAAACCAGATGTGTATTAGTGTATATTAGAGAAGTTTCGTATATCTCTCGATTATGATATTAATTATCGAAAAAGATGGATAGAACGACCGTCGACGAGAACTAATTTGATTGACTATATATATGATGATTTCACGTAAACATATGACTTATTTGTACGTTCCATTTGAAATAATAGATGTGACTTGTGCGTTGTGAGAAATATATATGGCTGATGTGCGGAGCGTTTGCGTTACCCAAGACAGTGGCTACAACAACTCGGAGCGGCGAGAGCGGTTGATGGTCGGGAATAGAGGTGTGAAGAGAATTACAGTTTTTAAACCGCCACTGCTCTGATGTGCCTAGTATGGTACCATTGGGAATCTCCCATCCAGCCGCAGCTTCTCGGTTTATCAGCGTTTGTGTCTCTACCGAGTACCGATACAATATATATACTATAAAAGATGGTCGACTCTCTCCATATAAATGTCACCTCATCATTTTAGTTTATTGTAGAAATAACATGTGTCATTTTTTAAAATTTAATGATACAAATTATGTGAAATACAGTTAATGCATAAATTAATATATTATTAATGATAATACTAAAAGAATATGAAAAATATGAAGAATTAAATAATATATTTTAATAACAATATATACATAATATCTAAAAACAATTATTGAATATCTATTTTGTGGTAGTTTTTAAAAATTATTAACAAAATTTATGTTTTATATTTAAGAGTGTTTTCTTATTTTTAATTAATATTATAAGATATTATTATAAAAACAATTATAAAATATAAAAATAACAATTATTTTATATTTTAAACTTTAAAAAGTTAGAAAAAAAATTTATACAATATTATAATAAACTTTAAAAAAATTTCTTTATAAATTAATAATTATTTGACAATTTATTTTATTCAAACTTGACCCATTAATAATTTTAAAATTAATAAGATATCAAAGTCCTAATATATATATTTATAAATTTTTTAATACAGCTGTATAAATTAGAATTATAAATCAATTATTTAAGCTTATACAAATATAAAACCATGACATTGCTATTGTGTAAATCTACGCCGTAAACAAGTACGACCTGTTAAAAAAACTCGTCTCTATCTATGTTGTGCTTAATGAGTTTCTCTAATTAATTTTTGTTATATAGTACTTCTCTTATTTGCACTATATCTATTTAATATATTCTATATATAGAAGATATAATATATTTTACATTTTCTTATCAATAAACCATTGACACATATATAGTTAATATCCACATAATATATAAATATGTGTTGTATGTTTATTCAAATATACAATATCCTTTAAATTTTTTAAAATATACGATAAAGTAAATTGTAACTACGCTTTTTAATAAATTATATTGTGAAAAAAAATCTGCGCATCGTGCGGGTACTCATCTAGTTCTAACAGAAACATTTCCGTTAAGTAACTCACATTCATTTACTACATACAAATATTTGAGAATGCAAACTTTTTTTATCAAACGCAAATTACTAGAAGTTTTTAATTGCGTTTTTAAAGCTGATATAATTAAGTTTTGTTTTCTTGTGTGTTTTGGGCAGTATGACTCGAAAGATGTGAGAAATTTGGTGGAAGTCCTAAGAGAAGCAGCGACGGAGGAGAAAATGGTTATTATTAACTTTCTTGAACCGGGCTTGGGCTGACCCAAACTCGACGTTCGACTTATTTCTCAAAAGTTTTTACGTCGGAGAAGGGAACAAGCGGTTGCTCCGTCACCTTGTGGTGACATGCCTCGACGAGAAAGCATACTCACGGTGCTTAGAAGTCCATCCTCGCCGCTGCTACTTCTTGAAGCCTTCGGAGTCGATTTCTCCTGCCAGAAGAATTATATAGCGCAGGGCTATCTCAAGATGATGTGGCATCGTATAGAGTTCTTGGGCTCTCTCTTGAAGCTCGGATATAGCTTCATCTCCACGGTATTTTTCTCTATCGATAGTACTCATTATGTAGGCCTGTGGCTATATATATATATATATGTGTGTGTGTGTGTATATACTATGTTATATATACATTTTCACTTCTAACAGTCAAAAATATTTTCGAACTACTAAGTTTTGGGTAGGATCTGATGTAGTTTAGGGATCGAACATTCGAAAATCAAAAATTATGAACAAACATAAAAAAAAATATCACGAGAGGAAAATTTACGACGACCACTGAAGAAGAAAAATTTTGATCTAAAAACTTGATTTATATTTTGTATGAAAAAACCTTTTATTTTAATCAGCTCAAACGTGTTTTAATAGACTCTAATTTTAGTTTGCTAGTCTGCAAATTTTTTGGCAGACTTTTCGAATTTCTAGCAGATAGTACAGAAGTTTTCCAAATATTTTGGTACACTTCAGTTTCAGTATGTTAGTCTGCTATTTTTTTAGTAGACTCTTCAATTTTTGGCAAACAGAACGGAAATCTTCCAAACATTTCGGCAGACTTTAATTTCAGAATGTTAGTCTACTATTTATTGGTAGACTCTTCAAGTTTTTAGCAGACGGAACAACAGTTTTCCAAATATTTTGGCAGACTTTAATTTCAGATTGTTAGTATACATTTTTTAGTAGACTCTTCAAGTTTTTGGCTGACGAAACAGAAGTCTTCCAAACATTTCAGTAGACTTTAATTTCAAAATGTTAGTCTACAATTTTTTGGTAGACTCTTCAAGTTTTTGGCAGACACAACAGAAATCTTCCAAATATTTTGGCAGACTTTAATTTTAGTCTACCATTTTTGGTATACTTTTTAAAATTTGGCAAACGCAAGAAAAGTCTTCCAAACATGTCGGCAGCCTCTAATTTCAATATACTAGTCTACCATTTTTTTTGGCAGACTCTTCGAATTTTTGGCAGATGCAAGAGAAGTCTTCCAAATATTTTGGCAGACTTTAATTTCAGTATACTAGTCTACCATTTTATCGGCAGAGTTTTCAAATTTTTGGCAGACGCAACAGAAATCTTCCAAATAAATTGGCAGACTTTAATTTTAGAATGTTAGTCTGCCAATTTTTTGGTAGACTCTCCCAGTTTTTGGCAGGCGTAACAGAAGTCTTCTAAATATTTAGGAAGACGCAACGGAAGTCTTCCAAATAAATTGACAGACTTTAATTTCAGTCTACTAGTTTACCATTTTATCAGCAGATTTTCCGAATTTTTGGCAGACGCAACAGAAGTCTTCCAAAAATATTGACAGACTTTAATTTCAGTCTACTAGTCTACCATTTTATCAGCAGATTTTCGAATTTTTGGCAGACGCAACGGAAGTCTTCCAAATAAATTGACAGACTTTAATTTCGAAATTTTTTTGGTAGAATCTTCTAGTTTATGGCAGACGTAACGGAAGTCTTCTAAATATTTAGGCAGACTCTAATTTCAGTCTACTAGTCTACCATTTTTTTTGGCAGATGCAACACAAGTCTTCCAAATATTTAGGCAGACTCTAATTTCAGTCTTCTAGCTAAATTTTATATTTATGTGTGCTGAAATCTAAATTTTAATTTTTGTTTTCTATAGTATGCTTATATATTATTTATTATTATTTGTTTGCAGAAGACAGATGAAGAAGAAGAAAAAAGTGGTACCATTGATGAATATTGTAAAGATGATGAAAAAGTGGTACAATAGATGCATGTAGTGAAGATGAGGAAAAAAGCAGTATCATTGATAGATGTGACGAAGATGAGGCAGAAAGTAGTATTGCAATTGAGTTTCATAAAGATGACATACATAGTCTTACTTTTGTCGAGAGTGGAGAAGATGAAAAAGAAAGTGGTTATGTGGATGGAAGTTATGGATCTTCTTCAGATATATCTATCCATGGAGAGTTTGAAGAGCCACTAACTGATGGCTTAGAAATTTCAAAAACTACTACGCAGACCTTAGAGAGTATTAAAGTTGGGCAATTATATAGCAGCAAGGTAGAGCTACACCGTAAGTTGCGGCTAGTCACAATTTTACAGAATTTTGATTTTGTAACTTACAAGTCGACAAAATATTTGCTAGTGCTCAAGTGTTATGTTGCTGGTTGTTCATGGAAGATTCGTGCATAAGCATTCAAATCAACCAGTGAGTTTAAAGTACGAAAGTACATAGACATTCACACATGTCCAGTTACTCAGAGGAGTTCTCGTCATTGTCAAGCCACATCAACATGTATTGGAGAGTTATATTTGGAAAAATTTCATAAAGTTGCTGTGGAGATTAGACCTATGCATATGATGGATACCATGAAGGCGATGTATAATATTGATATTGATTATTGGAAGGCGTACAAAGCGCTAGTGTATGCACATGAATTGGTACAAGGGACATAGGATATTGGGTATGAGGATTTGCCTTCGTATTTGCATAGCCTTGAAGCAACTAATCCAGGTACAATTACTAGACTTGAATGTGATGAAGAAGTAATATTTTCAAACCCCGACAGAGAGAATCGAGCAGCTGTACTACCCAACAAACACCATATCTCATACTTCTTATTGCAAACAAGTTGTTTGACAAGAAGGTATTCCACAAGCTTAGATGACCAATTGAATGATTTTTCAGCAAACCGTACAATAACCCCCAAAAATGAAGCATGAATGTAGTCCCACACTTCTTCTCCAACAGCTGTCTCTACATTTTCCAGAAAGCTAACTTTGCTATGGTAATTGATGCTTTTGGTAGGCTGCGGTTCACAACCAAGTGAATATAATCGCAAAGGAAATCCCAAATTCACATTTGTTTTTTTTTAACACTGATTTATTAATCTATTGCAAATTATGAGAACTGTTACATCGACGATTCTACAACGGTCAAATCTACCGTCTTATGAAGATCCACAACTAACGGCTCTACCTGCACCCTGCACCACGCTTACCATCATCATATGAAGATCTACGCCTGACGATTCTGCTTGCACCACGCTGAAGATCTCTTGTAAGCTTGCCTCCATTAATTTGCATCATTCTTCATTAATCTGCATAATTAAAAATAAATCGCACTCGCTGGGATTTGAAACCCAGACCTCCTGGTGTAGAAACATTAATAAACTCTTATTAAACCATTGGGCTAAGGGGGCTTCCACAATCCACATTTGTTTGTATCGATATTCTGAAATGAGATACATGAATTAATCCATTAAATATATGACTTTCTGAAATGAAATACATGAATTAATCCATCAAATTCATCAAATCTAATCCACTAAATTAGGTTAAACTAGAGTCATTGGTTTCTAATAACAGCCAATGTATTATACTAATCACAATTATTTTATTGCAACCACAACTCACTAAAAAACAAAAGCCAACAATATTCGCTGCAATTTTTTTACATATCACGTTTTCTATTCTTGACGAAAAAAATCTTATTCAATATCATATTACCTTAGGATCTAGGGAATAGCAATTGCAGATGCATGTATGATGAAGGCAAGCCAATTTGAAGACATGACAAGTAAATCTGGAGCTAAAACGGGGGAATCAGAGAAAGACGACAATTTGAAGCCAATTTACGTTTCTGGTGATGAAGTAATTTAAAGATAAAACTGTGATGAAGCTTGATGAAAAAATAGATTTGGAGATTAAACATGTGAATTAGACGAAATCGATTTAAGTTTTAGGCGAATTTGAAAGAATAACCGGTTCTAAGATTCGTCTCTTTGCCAGCGATGAAGTAAAAAAAAAAAGAGAAAGGGTTTTTAAAGTTTTTTTCATTTTCATAACGTTTATTTAAGTTTTTTAAATAATACAATAATGATATTATATTTCCTTTTTTAAAAAAAAACAATAAGTAAACGGTTTGATGATACGCTAAAAAGAAATTAACACATGAAATTATAAAAGGGCAGTTTAGGAATTACAAAATTGATTGGATGATTAGTAAGTTATTCTTACCATTTTAAATTTACTGGGTTATTCTAACTATTTTAAAAATAAACCGAGTTATTCTGGATAAGTTTCTCTTTTTTTTTTTTTTAAATTGGAAAATAGGACATTAACATTACGTGGCTTTGAGATCCATGTCCTCATCTATTCTCAGAAGGTGAATTTTGAGTCTCTTGTGACAGCTACAGCGGAAACTCTCACGACAAGAGAAACTTCGTCAATACTGGTTTTAAGTTTGTCTAAGCCAACCATCGCACAGTCGAGTTCTACAAATACTGGTACAAGTCCAGGCGGAAGTTCCATGGCAAGAAGGACCAGGGTTTGTTCAATAAGATCAAGCATGACCGTCATATCACGAAAAAGATTGGGCTTACAATGAAGTTTCTCAACACAATTTACTTCAGAGGATTATGCCAAATGAGCCGTGAGATGAATAAAGTGTGTACTATGCATGCCAATTGTTGTATCGGTCTACAAAACAAGATTCTTGATTTGAGACAAGTGCTTGGAGATTGGAACTATTATGTTTCTGCGGCTAGGACAACCGATGGCCGCAAAATGATATGGCGATCACGGGAGAGTGAAAATAATCTAAGAAAACAAGTTTATAGTGATGCAAGAAAAGATTACATTAATCTCGATCTTCTTCTTTGTTTTATTGGAAACTTAACAAGCTGGCCCTGACCTAAAGCTCATGGAGCAAAGGTTTTAGGCGCCAAAAAACTGATAAGAATTTCAGGCATCAAATTTTAATAAGTGTTATATATGGGGCAAAATATATGTTCGTTTTGCTTTAAGTTACTAAAAAGTACGGGCCGCCACAAAGCAAAAAAGTCAAGTAAACCGATTTTATACGCTCTATAATATAACGGGCTATATCCAGTTACAAAAAAATATATATAACGGGTTAGGAGAAAGTACGTGAGTTGCACAGTTTTGTGATAATTTAAACATTTTAATTTTATAATTAATTTTATGATATTTGTTAGTAATTTTTTTTACAAATATTAATTTCTGTTTTTAAATAATATATACTTTATTAATTTTGTATTAAAATATTAGTAGAATAATGATATTAATAGTTAATTAGTTTTTTATTTATCATATTAAATTATTTTTTCGGTAATAAGAATATGTTGTTTTGTACAATCAACGTGGCATACATTTTTGGTGAAATTTGTGATTGCAAAATAAAATATTGATATTTTTAGTTTTAGTAGATTATCAAGATATGTAGCACAATTATCATATTCTTTCTATGTAGCTTGTGTTTGTGTTCTCTCTAAGTCCTTGATTAGAAAAATAACATCTAGAATTCTGATGCATTTGAGTTGAACTCTTCAATTTCAGAAAAGACTTCAAAACATTGTGTATTATATAGTCAATGTGGTAGTATAGATGTCTGAATAAGTTTTATTAGTTAATATTTTGGTTAATGTATTTGATATTGTGCCATCCATATCGTGACGAGTGAGGTAGAAACTAATTATATATTTGAAGATAGAGTTATTTACTTGTAGTATTTGATCAGTGGTAAAAATGATTATGTAGTTGATGTTCTATTCTTGACGGAGTGGACGTGTGATTTTAAGATGTAGTTTGTTTCCAATTGATTGGGTAAAAAGAATTTTCTGATAATATAATCCATATAGAATTTTATTGAGATTTTGTGTGGTGATAAAAGTGAATTGTGTTTGTGGATTATTATATTGTTTTGTCATTTATAGATTGTTATAGAATTTTTATTACATTTTTTCTGTGTGGATTATATATAATTGTGTTTATTATTTAGTTTAGTGTAGTTGAATTCTTTATTCATTTTTGTTGACAAATGTTTTTTATATGTGTAGCACAAATATATGATATGTGGCAATATATAAAAGTTCGTATTAAAAAAAACCTTACTATACTATAGTAGAAGATGAAAAATATAGTAGAAGATAAAAATGCCGTACTATATTTTCTTTAATATTGTAATGCATATAATATTGTATTGAAATTTTGTGTGGTAGTAAAAATGAGTTGTGTTTTGCAGTTTTTGTTTTTGTTTTTTTTTTATTGTATTTATTATTTTTATTTAGTCTATCTGATTTTTTTATTCTTTTTGCTGACTATTCTTTTTAAAAATATGTAGAATAAATAATTGACATATGTCAAATTTTGTAGTACTACGTGACAGCATATCAAAACTTCTCCTAAGAAAAAACTTACCATATTAGAACGTGTGGTAGTAAAAAAGAGTTGTGTTTTTGTTCTTTTTTATTGTATTTATTTGTCTTTATTATTTTTATTTAGTATATCTGAATTTTTTATTCTCTTTTGCTGACTATTTTTTTATAAAATATGTAAAATAAATAATTGACACATGTCAAATTTTGTAGTGCCACGTGGTAGCATATCAAAGTTTCTCCTAAAAAAACCTTGTCATATTAGAATAAATAGATAGATAGATAGATATAGATAGATATATATATATATTCATGAGTAGTCTAGTTACAGTAGCTTAGCACTGTAAGTCTCAAACTTGTATATAGTATCAATTGGATTTGCTTATTAATTAAATAAATTACCTCAAATTTTTTTAAAAGCCATTTTAAAAATGTATCTCAATAAAATAAATTAGTAAAATTAGAAGAGAATGAGAGAGAATGAATTGAGAATCAATCTTAAGATACTCTTTAGAACATCTTGATAAGTGAGATACTCATTTAGAGTATCTAAACAATAAAACAATTAATATATTGATTTAATTCTTTTATGTCATTTAGTTTTTATTATAGAAAAAATTAAACTAATGAGAATATGCAAAAGTTGAGATACATCTCTTAAATGAGATATGTTTCTTGTTTCTCTCTCCTGTTTTTTTTTTTTAAATAATTTAACGCTTAGATACCCATCCATATATCATGTATATCATCAAATACTATATTAGTATTTTTTAATGTAATTTTGAAGTAAAAAAAGAATTGAGCCATTGACAAGAAAACAATTGTTTTTAAGTATCTAAGAGTTCCTCAAAATCTCTCATTTGGGAATATCCACTCTATTTTTCTTTTTCTTTTTCATTATTATATTAATTATTTTTGTTGAAACACCCTTTAAAAAAACTACCAACAGAAGTGCTCTTAGTATCTAAAAAAACAATTGTTTTCTTATAATTCATTCTGTTCTTTGGAAATTTCAAAAAAGATTAAAAAAATTATATAAAAAATATTAATAAAAATATTGTTGAGATACTCAAATGAGTATCTAATTATTGAAGGTGCTTTAATATTCGAATAGCACACTTAAAAAATGGGGTTCACCCAACATCACATTTGAAAAATAAGAATTTGTCTGGTTATATTTGTAAAGGAAGAAAGTCGAACCAAGGATTCGTCAGTAACAGTAATTTTCAATAATTAATCTCACTTATAACAAAAAAAAAAATATCTTATTATAATTTCTCATGCATGTTTGGATACATATCTATTTGTTTTTATATGTTGTTGGCACATATTTTTTACCTTCTACAGTCTTTTTTGTAAAATTGAGGGCTTGATTGGTAACAAATGTAACTTTACGTTTTTGCTGTAGAAATATGACCATAGATTTTTTTTGATGTAGCTGTAGATTTTATTTCTTTAAAACTTTGGTTGTAGTATTGTAAAACTTTGGTTGTAGTATTGTAAAAAAATGCTTTGTATAAAATAAAAAAAGGAAATATTTTGGATGAGAGTAAATAAAAGAAAGATAAAGTTTATAAAACATGATTGATATGATTTAAAACTTTAAACAGAAATATTGTTGTGCACATCATCTACAGTAACAATCAATATCTGTTTCCATTTTGCCATATATACCTTTCTAGACTTATATAATTTGTTTGTTTTATCTAAGTATTTTGCAATTCTATGAAAATACATACGTTGTCTTCATCTTCAAGAGCTTTTCATAAGATATGGCGTCAGTGCTGAAGCTGTTGCGGCGGAAGGAACTTCTGGTGGTTGGCGGCTTCTTGGTCCTCGCAAATTTCATGGTCTACCAATTTGGGGTTCATCCACTACCACAGTTTTTCCTCTTCTCCGACGTTGTAAGTATTTTGTTCATCTATACATATTTTTTATGCTATACATGCATGTATATCATATATGATCGTTTTGATTATATACAACTTTTCTTCATTTTCAAAACTATATGAATCTTTTGTGTGTTTATTGTCTTTTTCCATAAATTTTGTAGTTTTTTTTGAATACATAAACTCTGTTAGTCAAGAAAACAAATTAAGTAAAAACGATTTACTAAGAAAATTGTATTTGTTAACTTGTATATACTAGATACGATATCCAAATGTGAGAGTTTAGATTAGATCCTTTGATAAAATATAAATATTTATTTCTTTTTGAAACTTTTTATCTTTTATTGGTTGACAGCATCATCAAGAAGATGTGAAAAAATTGGGGAGGATCCTAAGGGAAGCAGCAACGGAGGATAACACAGTGATAATAACCACCTTAAACCGGGCTTGGTCTGAACCAAACTCGACCTTTGATTTGTTTCTCGAGAGTTTTCATGTCGGAAAAGGGACTAAGCCACTGCTCCGACACGTTGTGGTGGCATGTCTCGACCCGGAGGCCTATTCTCGGTGCTTGGAGGTCCATCCCCGTCGCTGCTACTTCATTGAAACCGCCGAAATTGATTTCTCCAACGAGAAAAGCTTCATGACGCCGGAATTTCTCAAGATGATGTGGCGTCGTATAGAGTTTTTGGGTACTTTGTTAAAGCTCCGATATAACTTTATCTTCACGGTATGTATATCTCTTCCCCTCTTTGAACGTCGACGTTTTCATGTCAACCTTTTTGCATAATGTTGGTTAGTGTAATAGTATTATAAGATATACTATTAATCAACTAGACTTTGAACCAAATGATTAGAATTGTAGTGTAATTAGACCCATGCAAAATCTGAATTTCATATATAAATAATTCGGTCAAGTGGTTGACCAGTTCATAATGTGGTTAGGGGATAGTGTGCAATATTTCAATCATTGTTGATTACGAATATTTTCTATAGACACGTAATTTTGGTGCTAAGTAAAGAAGAATTAGTGAGTAGCAAGATGTCAAGTTTATGGTTAATTATATCATATATGGTATGCAGCTTTTTCATATTTTCACGTTTTAAAACTTGTTTTCATTATTTTTTTACCATTCATGTTATTCATCACATTTTCACGTTTTCACATTTCTCATGTTTCTAAAACGTGATTCCACTAACGTGTTAAAAATTTAATTAGAAAAAACAAAACATGGTTAATCTACTAAAAGTAGCTTTTCAGCGTTTCATAATTATTTAGCGAAAATATTATTCAGTTCAGTTCGTTCCAATAGTAATTTTTCAGTTATTCTACTATTCTGTTATTCATCTGACATACCAGTCAGACCCATAGTGTCTCATTTTTTTTTTTACTATCATATGGTTAATGAGTGTAGGATGCAGATGTAATGTGGTTTCGAGATCCATTCCCTCGTCTATCTAAAGATGTTGATTTCCAAATCTCTTGTGACCGTTTTAATGGAAACGATAGCGACATAAAAAACGAGGTCAATACTGGTTTCATTTTTGTTCAAGCCAATAACCGAACCATAGGTTTGTACGACTATTGGTACGCGTCGAGGTTCAGATTTCCGAATAAAAACGATCAGGAAGTGTTCAATGATATCAAAGAAGATTGGGACATTGCAGAAATTGGACTCAGAATGAGGTTTCTCGACACGAAGTACTTCGGAGGATTCTGTGAGCCAAGTCGTGACTTAGATAAGGCTTGCACAATGCATGCCAATTGTTGTGTGGGACTGGATAATAAGATTAATGATTTGAGAGAAGTGCTTGTGGATTGGAGGAATTATTTGTATTCGGCGGAAACATATAATGGTGAGGATATGACATGGCGAAAGCCCAAGAATTGCATGAAGCAGTGGTGGTGGAAAAAGAGAAAAACAAGTATTAGGGTCAAAACATAGTAGGCAAAATATATAAATATATATTAAAATATTAGTTTATTTATCATACTCAGACCAATGCAGAAAATTTCAACTATGAATAGTTTTATTTTCATTTGATAATAAGAAATATATTCTTTTTTTGTTAACATATAAACCATTTTAATGTACTTCTTCATTAATTTTATTCTGGAACATGCTGCTATATCTAAAATAATACTTATTTTGATATACATATTTTTAATATAAATTAGAAAAAAAAACTAGGTAACTGCTAAGCACACAAAAAAAAAGTAACACTCTTGAATCAAAATGATGTAACTTGTAAGTATGTAATGAGGATAAGTCGATGAGTCGATGAGATCACGATACGTGTGGATAACACTCGGTCAAAGTCGTCATCAAGAAAGCCGACGAAATACTTGCGAGTCAGAACTTTATGTTGTTGAATAGTTGGTTTGTTTATACTCGCAAGAGCCATAAGATGAAACTGATCCTGCTACTAAATCCACAGCTAATTTTTCCTTTTCAAATGGAAAAATTTACAAATTTAGGCATTTACGTCTATGGTTTGCTGTACAGATGATGCTATTATTATGCTTAGGGACGAAATATTATGGTATGTAAAGTCAAGATTTCAATTATATCTTTAAGCTATAAGAATTAAAAGTTCTTTGACAATGTGATTAATTTAATTTAACCTCTTTTAATACCAATCGAAAAAAATGTGGCAATGATATGAAAATAAGACGTTTGGAACCATGAAAGACATGTTACAATTTATTGATATCTGACTAAAATCACAATTTTAGTATATCTACATCTACCCTAAACCATGATATGTCTTTTTTTGTTTTTGTTTTTTGTAGAAACTCCATCAACCGGTCAGAACATTAGAAGAATATCTAGAGTTATTTATGCTAAGAGATACTTTTTGAATTATTAATTAAAAAATGTACTTTTTGCAATTAAGACACTTTCTCATTTTCCTTCTTTTATATTTAACTTGAATGTCCGAAAATACTCTTCTCGTCGAATACACCTCGATGGATTCGGTCTGATGGACACAATATGATGAATAAAATTGTTACTAAGTGATAGTTACAATACGATTTGATGGACACAAAGTGATAGTGATAATGGATGGACACCAACGCGTGGACGCGGTCTGATAGACACAGCTCGATGGATACAAATTGTTATAAAGTGATAGTTAAAATATTATTTGATGAACACTAAGTGATAGTGATAATGGATGGACATCGACGCGTAGACGCGAATCAATTTTCAAAAAGTACCTCAATTGCAAAAAGTGCATTAGTTATAAAAGTGTCTCTTTTATAACTTGAAACTCAAAAAGTGTCTCTTGAAAGTAAATGTCTCAAATATCCAATACAACTAAAACATTAAACACAAATAAGTAAGTAAAAAAGAAACTAAACTGAACATATATATGATTGGGTAACTTTAAAGCTACTATGTTGAAATATTGATTCTTCTCTGATTTTTAACCTTTTTATGTGTGTGAAAGAAGTTTATAGGTACCGAATTGTGCGCGGGGTGTCCCACTAAGTCAACATGAGATTCAGTGATAATTGACATTAATTTCTTTATTGGTTGACTCAAATAATAGACTTTAATTATTTATCAGATCCCACCGAACTGTTATAAAATAAAATGCATGCATCCCCACGAGAAGATTTGTCAACATAGAACTTATGTATCTTTTTATTACTCCGTTTGATTCAATTGTTATGCACCGTTCGTTTCCATTTAAACGTTTAGACTCTAAAGTAGAAAATGAAAAGCTGATTCACAAAGATTGAATAATCCTTCAAAGAAAAATCAAATCAAACAATCACATACCTATAAGAAAAAGTTCAAAAAAAAAAAAATCACATACAAAACGTTTAGACTCCAAAGAAGAAAATGAAAGCTTATTCACAAAGATTGAATAATCCTTCAAAGAAAAATCAAATCAAACAATCACCATACCCTTTAAACGTTTACACTCAAAGATTGACATATCAACTACTAATAGCAACCCTCAAATAAAAATCAAACCAAACACTCACAAACTGACATAAGGGTAAGAACGTCAATAAATAATTAGTCAACGTTGGCGTCCTCAAATTCCAAAGTCCCAAAGAACCATCCCTCTCTCTCTCTCTCACTCGCCATTACTAAAACCCCAAAACCCTCCTTTCTCTTCATTCTCACTCTCTCTCTCTCTCTCTCTCAATTCTCAATCCAATAATCTCGAAAAATGAGTTTTAGAGATCCGAATCCAGTGCCCATCACACCCGAAAACAATCCGGAACATGTCAGCTTCGCTGTGACAAGCACAATCATGCTCTCTGCAATACTCGCAATCTTATTCTTCGTCATTCTATTGGTCTCTCTCCATCTCTACTCTCGCTGGTATCTCCTCCGCTCTCGCCGTTTTAACCGCAGTAATCGCGCCGCCGCAGCAATTGTCTTCTTCGCCGACCCTTCCTCCACCTCCGTAGTCACCACACGCGGGCTCGACCCTTCCGTCATCAAATCTCTTCCCATTTTCACGTTCTCAGCCGCGGCAACCGCAACCGCCACGAAAGCGATCGAGTGCGCGGTTTGCCTCTCGGAGTTCGAGGAGAGCGAATCGGGTCGGGTTTTGCCTAATTGCAAGCATACATTTCACGTTGAATGTATTGATATGTGGTTTCATTCTCACATCTCTTGTCCTCTCTGCCGATCTCTCGTGGAACCTATCGTCGACGGAGGAATGAGATCAGCGGCGGAGGAAGTCGCGATTTCGATTTCCGACCCGGTTTTGGGTGACGATCAGGGTTCGAGACCTGAATTGTGCGATACGGACCGCCTTGTGGGAGCTGGGACTTCCGAGAACTCGGATCCAGAAGATTCCAGGAGAAGAAAACCGCCGGCGATTGAAGTCCCGAGGAGGAATCTCGGGGAATCGGAGGACGATTTGACTCGAAGTCACTCGTTTAGATCACCGATGAGCCGAGTGTTATCTTTCACACGGATATTGAGCAGAGATCGGAGAAGCGCGACTTCTTCTTCTTCTGTCGGATTTCCGCCGGCGGTTTCGCCCCCGGCTTGTAGCATGCCGGTGACGGAGTTAGATATTGAGTTGGGAAGAGAAGAGTCTCGTTGACTTTAGCACTAAATGTGATCGCCACGTGGATGCGTATGATTGGTCATAAGTATTTTTTCCTAGTTTAGTGTTTAAATTATGAGATGCAAAGTAAAATAATTATGTCACATACGGGGATTAAAAAAGTATGCACATCGTAAGTACATTTGCCTTCGAAGCTCCCCGGAAATGGTTAAAACAGCATATAGACCAAAAGCATTGTCTTCTTGGTAATATATTTTAACCCCAATTTATTAATTAAACTCTTACAGATTAGTTTTATTTGACACAAAACAAAACAAAAATACACTTACGATATATATATATATATATATCAGTTAATTATAGGAAAAAATAAAAACACGTTACTTCTTTGTTTGCCATGATAGTACACGTTCTGGTGGTTTGTCAAAAAATTTTGTAAACCAAATTCCATCAAGTCTGACAATCCATGAAAGTAGTTACTACATCGTTGATAATTTGAATAATATACTTCAAAATTAAAAAAAAAACTTATGATTAGGCCCACATTTAATAAGACAATTATATTTTGTTTCACACGGTTAAAAACTATCTTTATAACTAATGTTAAATCAATTTTCTTTCATTTGTCCTAGCCGCTAGTGAGAGAAAGAGAAAAAGAGCGATTCTGATTTTCGTCTCTTCGGTGTTCGATGGTCTTCGCCGGCACTGTGAGAGGGTTGTTTCTTTTCGTTTTCTCCTGTTTTTGGGAGGACCTGTCTTCGGTTTGTTGGAGTCATGTGGTTTCTTCGGCGATTTTGAAGCAAGAGTTTCCATCTTCGGTTTGGTGATGGTTTCTTCAGCGTCTCTGTTCTCAAGCGATATCCTACGGAGGAAGGATTAGGTGGAGGAGCATCTCAAGTCGGAGGTGGTTTGTAGTTGGTTTTCTGAAGAGTGTGTGGATTCATTTTGGTGGATCTGCGACCCTGGTGTGGAGCAGGTGTTTGTCACCGTTCTTTTCTTGTGCATATATGTTGGTTGTTGTTTTCTTTGAGTAGGGGTGCATTCTCGCAGGCGGATTTCGAAACCCAAGCATGGGTCAGAGCAGTTTCTGAGTAGTTTTTGCAGATCTGAGTCTCATGGTTTCAATAGATTGGAAGCAATGTTAAGATTCTGAAAGATCTTCAAACCTTAAGCTTATTAATAGAGAGAAAGCCAATCTATTCAATTTCAGCAGCTTCAGGTGTGCTTCAGTTCATTCAGTTTTTGGCTTCAATCTTGTATCTCAATTTCGTTTTTTTTTTGGGTTTTTAGCAGTATTAGTCAAATGGTTCTCAATGTTTTGGGTTCCTATTTCTGTGATTTCCATTCCTTTGTGAAATCACTGGAAATAGATGTATTTCTCCTCTGTATTTATCCCTGTATCACATCCTGTATCTTTTCAAGATCTATAATATCATCAGATGACAAAAAAAAACTAATGTTAAATGGAGCTTCTTTAGGACTATGTACAATGGTACAAAGATTCAACACCTCCACCTCAATTTTTAATACCCCACATCATTTTCCCTCTTTTTCACCTAATCATTCAACACCCATTCAATTTATATTGCTTTCAATAGTTTTGTTGAATAAAATTCAACACCATACCCTATTAATTTATTTTATATTATCATTTTCTTTTATATTCTAATAATTACATCTTTATAACAATTATTGATTATGATTAAACTAAACAAATTACAAAATTAATTTTAAAACCTTAATTTTATGTAAAAGATAAAAAAATAAAATAATTATTAATAAAACAAATAAAATTACAAAACTTAAAATATAATACAATACACGGATAAGCACACAACACAATTAAAAAAACATACATAATTTAATAAAAACAATACTTAACTCATAAATAATAAAACAC